GGAGTGGGTTGCCATTTCCTTCTTCAGGGGATCTTCCTGACCCAGGGATTGAACCCAGGTTTCTCGCGTTGGCAGGCAGGTTCTTTACACTGAGCCAACACGTGAATATTGGAGATCTGGTATGTAAACTTACTGCAGCCCCCTAATTCCACGATGCCCTGCGGAGGGCACTGAGGAGATCAGCGTGGTGGTCACCGTGGAGTCAGGTTGGGCTGTGGCCTCCCCTCCTTTTTCTTTAGGCAGAAGCAGGGAGAAGGGGTTGTCAGCAGAGAGGCTGGCCCCCTGAACCCCAAAGCAGCATCTAGGGGTGTTTATGAGTGTGAATCCCAACTCCAATATATATGTAATGAATATATAACCACTATTATGAACACACAGTCGATCCTTGTGATTTGCAGGTTCTCTGTCTGCAGATTCGCCGGTTCGCTGTAACTTGTGTGTAGCCCCAGGGTCAGTGCTGCCCGGCTTTTACGACCATCAGCTCTGTGAGCCTGAGCATGGCAGGGAGACCCTGAGAGTCCCCCACTGGTTTCAGCTCACCCTATAAACCAGGGACCTTTCAGGGCCTTTTCACAACCTTGTTTTTCATATTTTTGTACTTGTAGCTGGTGATTTTGCTTTTCCCATGACCGGAGAACGGTGGGAGTGCTGTCTCATGTCCCAAGTGCAAGAGACTGAGCTATGTCCTCCGGAGAAAGCATGGACGTCAGAGGAGCCTCCTGCAGGTGTGAGTTACGGGGCTCTGGGGTGAGATTAGTGTTAGTGAGACAACAACACACATTAAATCAGTTGTCTTTATTTTATTTTCGTTTTGCAACTTTAATTATCTTTTATTTTTTGTCTGGCTTTTGATTGTGAAAATTGACAAATATCTTTCACCACTGTGAAAAAAAAGAGAGAGAGAGAAAAGGAGAGAGAGGAAAATACAAGTGAAAATGACAGGGTCCCCGAAAATGCTCATTTTGTAATGTCCATCACAGCCTTCCCTCCAGAATCTTGTCCATAATTGCTTATCGGCCCTCAGCATTCTGCTTCAAAACACAGTGGTTCCCAGAAATCATCAGAGGGCAGATTTTTGACACCAGCTGGTATGTGACCCCAAATCCTCAATCACCTGTCACCTCGTTTCCATCCTCCTGAAGCAGCCACTTAGTGCTCACCCCCACTCGCTACACCAGATCCGGTCACCCACACGGCCTTCCATGACCAGGGAGCCAGGATCCACCATAGCCCACTCAACCCAGGATTCCCACTGTCTCCTGGCTTCCTCGTGAGTGCCGTACTTATGCTACTAAGGTGTCTTCACACAGAAACACACATCAAGCAAGGTCACGTGCTGATCAGTTGATGAAATTGGCCAAGAGGCCCTAAGGCACCCAGCTCTGCATTTTCCCCAATCCTGATTGTTCACGATTCGGTAATTTGGGGCCAAAGATTTCATAGAAGAGAACTGCCTTGAATAATGGAATCCACTGTATGTATAGTCAGTATACAGTGAGCGTGTAATGAGCGTAACAAATAAATACACGTTCTGAGGATGCACGCCCACTCTTTGTGCTGCTCTGCAGTGCGGGGAGAAGAACTGTTAGATCTGAGGCCACCGAGGGGCCCGCTAGGTGTCAGGACAGGAGGAGCAGACGGTCCTGGGAGGAGCTGCATTTACTGGGAGCGGCTGTGTACCAGGCAGCTCACACACATTATTTCTAATCCCCACCACGACCTTGCTGGGGACAAGCAATCATCACCCAAGAATGACAAACAGGACACGTGAAAACCTCAGTGATAAGACAGCCTCCCCAAGGTCACTGTGACAAGCACTGTGATGTCTCCTTTTGTCCCTCTCCTAAGATCTGCCTGGCCCCCTTTCCCCTGGTCCCCTGTGACCACCTCTCAAAGCACCTTCATCACCTGAACCAGCCGGCCAAGGACCTGGATGAACCCCCGGAGACCAGGACAGTGGGAGTGAGTCCCATCCGCCACCAGACCCTCTGCACGCAGCCCGCCCTTCTGCACCGTCAGCAACCTCCCAGCGGAGTCCAGCCGGGCAGTGAGTGCCCCTGGAGGGAGCAGAGGGGGAGAGGGAGTGAGGAAGGCACAACAGAGGAGAAGGAAAGGTTGGTTGTCTGATGGCGGGGCGGGGGGAAGGATGAGAGAGGCTTGAATGTCTTCAGCTGCTGCTCCAGGGACAACAAGGGTACCCCCCTCCCCCGGGCCCGTGGGCCACTTACAGAAGGAGATCGGGGGCTGGTCCAAACTGCACTGAGATTCCAGGCAGCTCTCTGTAGTCCATGGTGTTGGAGCAAAAAGAGTCGTAGATATATATCACACAGATTAAAACGGCCTAAGAACCCCCAAGCCCAGAGAACGCCACTGAAATTGCTTGAAAATCTGCACTCAGCTATCCGAAGGGCCATGAGGAGTCGTTTGGGAAATGAGGGTGGCAGTATGTCAGGAAGAATCTGTGAGAGAAGATGGGGTGGGTGGGACGTGAGAAGAGGATTCCTGCGAAAGAATCAGGGCGCCTGTATCTGCTTCTCTGGCGGCTCAGACGGTGAAGAATCTGCCTGTAATGCTGGAGATCCAGGTTCGATCCCTGGGTCGGGAAGATCCCCTGGAGGAGGGCATGGCAACCCACTCCAGTAGTCTTGCCTGGGAAATCCCATGGACAGAGGAGCCTGGTGGGCCACAGTCCACGGTGGAAAAGAGTCAGACACAACTGAGGGACTAACACACGTGCACCTGCAGCCCAGGAACAGGAGTCTGAGACCAGAAACTCCACCAGATCCTGAACCCCAGACGGCCTGGCGCCAGGAACAGAAACACCCAATTCCGGGTCCGGGAGTGCGGGTACGAACAATTCATGTGTCAAACCTTTTCCCCAATACGTCAACGGTGGGGTTTGACTTGGCTCTGTGGTGGGGAGGTGGGGAGGTTGACTCAGGGACTCATAAACTTCATGTGAGGACAGATTGAGAAGACATGGTGCCTGGTGACAAATCAGTTCACAACCACGAGCCGCTTGTCTTGAGTGTTTCAGACAAGAGCCACTGTTTTATGGGATTTATGTGTGTGTCTTAGCAAGATAAAGACGCAGCAGTGATCTAAGGCAAACGGGGTCCTTTTCTCAAAATCGGGGTCCCGAGAGGGGATGTGGAGCCAAGCCTCTACCTGGAAAAAACACTCTAGAATTTCCGCCTTGCAGTGCAAAGCCAGTGTCACACAGGGGAGACCCTGGGTTTCTGGGGTGTTTGTGGGCCCAGGCTGGGGGAGGAGGTATCGAGGAGGGGCAGGCTACGGAGAGTCTGGCCTGGTGTCACCCATGTTGCACCCCCACCCCTGAGCTGAAGAGTGTCAGGACCCCTCACCAAGGTGCCTGAAATAGCTTTCACGCCACGACCTTCCCATTGGCCGCATAGAGGCCTTGATGAAAGTTTCAAACGTCCTCTTTAGAGCAGCTTTCAAATTATAGCACAGTGCTGCGGCTGCTCGCTCCCAGCCCAAGGGGAGAATGCAGAGGAGCCCAAGTCCCCCGCTCACTTTTGGAAGTGATGTTAGGGTGACTTGCATGAATTTCAAAAGCAAGCACTCAGTGACGCATTTGTAAAATCAATTTTGTAATTGCAATCTGAAATTATTTGTTACTCCAAGAGTGGCATGTAATTTCTAATATGCGTTTACGGATGTGGTAGTGGTGGTTTAGTTGCTGAGTTATGTTCGACTCTTGCGACCCCATGGACTGTGGCCCGCCAGGCTCCTCTGTCCATGGAATTTTCACTGTCAGAGTAGCCTGAACCTATTAGAAGAATTCTTGCTCTTATAGCAGATAAAAGAATATTAAAGTTACACATAATGCGTATATGTACTCTTAATAACGTTCTCTCTCAAACACACATGCTCACAAGCTCTGGCCACCTCTGTGTCAATGAAGCCAACATGGAATTTAGCAGATTTTAAGGACTTTCTTTATTGGAAGAAATCATATGCGAAGCCATTGAAAGGGATAAAAAGCAGATGATGAAAACCCAGGAATGGGGGAAATGTGAAATCCGAAACTGTAAGGTGGTGAGTATTCTTCTTCTGTTTCGGAGCATCCAAGGAGCCTGGAGGGTTCTCTGAAGCCACTGCCTCTTAATAATGACAGTCTAGAAATTTAAACAAAAGACACTTGGTAAGAGCGCCAGGAAGCCTGGAACCCCGGGCTAAGAGGCTCTGAGGGTTTTCGGGACTACAGCTCTCAGTCCAGCCATTCCTGCTGGAGAAGAAGTTTCCTGCGGGGACACAGCCCCCTGGGGCCAGATGCCCTCTGGGGGTCCATTCTCCTCAGATAACTGGTAGTTTTCCAAGTAGACCCTTAGGTCACTCAAAAAATCACTTGGAAACTTCTTAAAGAAAAAGCCATGCTCTTTGGAACATCCCGATTTCCTTAAAGGATTGATGCATTCTTCCCATCTTTTGGAAACATCTGGTCTATCCTTGTCAAACTCAGGGTCAGGGAAACGCTGTAACTAAGGGGGTAGCAGGAAGGAGATGGCCCCCCGGGACTGGCACTGGGGCAGGACCTGTCACCCGTGCTCACGGGAGAGAGAGTCAAGGTCCGCAAGAGACCACATCTGCTTTGCTCTGGGTCCTACCCACGGTGCCCAGTGTAGGGCAGGGCATTCGGAAGCACCCAAAATAGTGACAGTCAACTGTGCTGGGACCTGGGGCCACGGCTGAGGGTGAGATGCTTTATACAACCATCGCAAAAGGAACAGTGGGAAGACCCAAGGGCTTGGTTTATCTATTTTTTTAAAAAAGCTATCATTGTTGAGAACATTCTTGAACTGACTCCTGAGATGGTTCACAGTAACGGCAAGATCCCACAGGAGTACAGTTTTTCCTGAACTGGCCACCCCTGGGGTCTGGGGCCTGGCATTGGGCATCCTGGCAAGCCGAGGACCTCCCCCACCCCGGCTCCCACTGCCGCTGAGAACTGTCTGTGCCTGGGGACCCGAGGTTACCTTCCGTGGAAATGGGGTAGAAGCACCAGGGCACTTGGGGGACGGTGTCGGAGAAGCAGCACCTCCGGGACTCACACTCCTCGGGACTGATGCCGGGGTAGCCGCAGTCCTTGCGGGCCGAGACCTCCATGACACACTCCTCCAGCTCTGCAGGGCACACCGGGTTTAGGGGTAACAAGGGGATGCGGTTAGGCTGGTTAGTTAGCCAGGCACATCCATCCCATCCTGCTAGGGGAGCACCTGGGGCTCACAGGTTCGGGATAGCACCAGGGGCTCCTGGGACTGTCACCCCTGGGCTAAATGTGGGCACCAGCAGGTGGCCACCCCTTCTTCCTGATGCCCAAAGTCAAAGGGAAAGTTGCTTCACCTCCCTGGACTTGACATGGCTGTATAAAATGGAGTTGCCCACGCTACATCCTGGGAGGACCCTTTAAAGTTATAAAGCATTTGACCAAGAATTGAGTGTCTTCCCTGGTGGCTAAGTGGTAAAGAATCTCCCTGCAATCCAGGAGACCTGAGATCGATCCCTGGGCCGGGAAGATCCCCTGGAGAAGGCAATGGCAACCCACTCCAGTATTCTTGCCTGAAGGATCTCAAGGACAGAGGAGCCTGGTGGGCTACAGTCCATGGGGTTGCAAAGAGTTGGACATGACTGAGTGACTAATACACAAAGAATTGACACCCAAGGATCCTTCCACTACTGGATGAGCCCTGGCGATAGACAAACCAACCACCTGCTGTCAGTTCCGTTTCCCCCAGAGCCCGGGAGCCTCCAACCGGCTCCCCTGAGTGGTGTGGACGGGACCCAGGGCACTGAGTTCCACACAAATGGGTCTGCTTTACAGACAGAACTCTGTGTGCCTGCCTTGAAACAGGTGATTTTTTAAGTTGATAATATGCACAGATACAAAACTCACTCTCAAAACGTGACTCTAGAAGCCTTAACTTAATTTCTCAACATCTGGGGTCTGTTCGCAGTTATGTTAATAGCATCCTGATTTTAATGCCTTCATGCCCTTAGAAGCTGGTTCAGGAGCCACAGCCTGACCAAGCAGGTCCTGAGACTCGCTCTCCCTTCAAATACAGTCAAGTAGCCGGATCCCCTGAAGTCTCCCTAAAAGGACAAACGGCTCACCCTCGGGATCTAATGTGGACACAGTGGGCAGAGAGCATTTTCTCTTCCCTTTGGGCTGGCCTGGATGGTTGGGGAGCCTGGGAAAGCCAGGTCCTGAGTTGCTGGCCGGGGCTCAGGAGGGGACCTTGCCCGTTACCTTGCTTCGGGAGGGGATTGAAACACCAGGGGACCCCGACGACGCTGGAGTCGAAGCAGCATCCTCTGGAGAAGCACTCATCACTGCTGATGCCCGGGAAGCCGCAGTTCACCCTGTTCTGGGGTTCCCGGCGCGAGCACTGGCAGGCATCTGCAGAGAAGCCCAGGTCAGCCAGCCCCCCACATGCGCCCCCGCCCACCAGCGCATCCAGGATGCTCCATCAGCTCCGCTCCTGCCCTGTAAAGGCCGTCTTATCTCACTCATGTTTGAACCATGTGGCGTCCTTCAGAGGAACTGACAGGGCTTGGCTGGAAGTGTTTTATTAGTTTAAAAATAAATCCTGGCAAGAGCATGGACAGATGGACTCAAGCCAAGGTCAGGATGAAAGTGAGCAAGTCGGACCCCCTGGGAGACCTGGGTGGGACTCCCATCCAGCCCCTCCACGAGCTGGCCCACTCGCACCCAAGGCCGTCCTGACCGACCCCAAAGGGGGTCTTCCTGGGATATCTCACCCTCCTCCCCCGCTGTCCTCCCTGAATGGCGGGAAGCGGGTGGATGCATGTAGGAGCCGGCTGCATGGCCGGCATCCCTAGTCCTAGGACACCTTCCCACCTGCTCCCCCATCATCCACCTTTTCTCTTCCAGGGAAACTAATACAAATGAAGACCCCCCGCCCCCCTCCAGGAAGCAGGAGGCAAGGACCTCGAACCCAGCCACCCCCACCCTCTGGGTTCTAGAAGGCTCCCAGGCTCTCTGGCTCAGATGCTCCTCTTCCCCTCAGGGATCTGAACCTCCACTTACCTGGTTTCTGGGCCCCTGCCAGGGTGCACACACCCAGCAGGAGAAGGGCAGCCAGGAGCCAGATGCCTCGGGGTCCCATGTCCACGTTCATCCGCACCCCAGGGCCACCAGAAGAGCGCACACTCCCCACTGCCAGGGGTGTTTATAAGCGTCTCTCTGTTTGCTCAGCAAGCAAGATAACCTGTCTGCCTGCGGCACCAATTTGAGCCCTTTGTTAGGAAAACGAGTTGCGATAGCTTGGCCAGCAGGGGGTGGGGAGTAGGGGTGACAGAGCAGGGCACCGGCTCTCCGCAAGCACAGACAGGCTACCCCCCTGCCCCAGGCAGGGAGCCGGGTCATGCCAGGATGCCGACGTGGAAGATACCACACTTGCACGTGTGGCGCTGGGCACTGACAGGGTTCCACCCAGGAAGGGAGAAGTTAGGGATTTCTCCTGATAAAGCATGTGGCTAACACCACAGGAATTTTTAGGTCCTGGGCCCAAGGCTACCAGGGAAAATGAGCCAACTGCAGACAGAGCAGACCCCTTCTCTAGGAACAGGAGGATGGCAGGAGACCCTCCTCCAGGGCTTCTGGTCCTTGATCTGTGTCTCCTTGTCTCTGTCTTAGGGAAGGGATGGATCTCCATGGAGATAAGGCTGACAGGGTAAAACGAACAGCCTCGGATGAGTGTAAAAGTGACAAGTTCATTTCAGCAAAGCCTGTATGTGTGCTAAGTCACTTCAGTCATGTCGGACTCTTTGCAACCTTACGGACTGTAACTCACCAGGCTCCTCTATCCATGGGATTCTCCAGGCAAGAATACTGGAGTGGGTTGCCATGCCCTCCTCCAGGGGATCTCCCCAAACCAGGGTTCAAACCTGTCTCTTAAGTCTCCAGCTTGGGCAGGAAGGTTCTTTACCATTGCTGCCACCGTTTCTTTTCTTCCATGAGAATTGTCTGTTTTCTGAAAGATGGCACATGTGAACCAGCCTGTGCCCAGCATAAGATGCTCCAGGGGAAGGGGTCTGAGAATGGGACCCAAAGAGACAAAAGAGAAATGGGGGGAAGGCACCCCATGGGAGCAGAGGACAGATGGGATGAGGTCAAGGACGCTCTTGAATCCCCCAACTCTGGGGCACTTCTGGGAACCACCAATCTGTCAAGCATGGCTCGAGCAGTCAGGAACCCGAAGATGCATGAAGTCTGGAACTCTGGGTCTTCGAGTCTGGAGAGCAGACCTGCATGCTCAGGGCTTCTGCCAGCTCCAGCCTACAGATTGGGCTCCTGCCTATCCCCCTGGCCTGGGGCTCTGTCTTATCAAACTTTGAAAAAGTCACCTTTCCCAGCCTACACAGGAATGGTGCTGTCACCATTCAGCACCACCAGGACACAGGACTCTGAGTCTTCTCTCCTCTTCCAGGTTCTCAGCCCCACTTTCCTCTCTGCTTCTTCCCTCTTGGCCCAATTTCCCAATGTCCCATCCAGGCCCTTCCAGGATTCCTGCTGAAACAGGCTGATCCATGCCAAAGAGACGGCTCATCAGTCCCTTGGTCTCTGTCCTGCATCCTCCCTGGGAAGCTCCTTTTGCCTCCATCTTAGGTGGAGCTGCTCAGGCTCCCACCCAGGGCACCATCCGTCCACATGGAGTTTTTGGTTTTAGAAAAGGGCACATTTTCTTCAAGACAAGCTACTTCCACCTGTAGGGAAGTCATTACGATAGATGCAGTGTCTACAGTGTGAGCGGCACCCACCTGAGTGTGGACCTGTGTGCACAGAACAACCTCTAAGCTGTGTTGGGTGAGTGTGCTCCCATCACATGGGCTCAGGCTGGGGGCTGGACGCTGACCTTGAGCCACAGTGTCACTGAGGCTCCTTGAAGATGCATCTTAAAAAAAGATCCCGCATTCTGCAACTAAGTCAAACAAACAAGAAGAAAAAGAAAAAGTTTTACAGCAACCGAAGACACCACCCTCAGGGGAGCATGTTAAGAATTACAAGTGATCTCTCATCTGAAACAATGCAATATGGAAGGCAATAAAATATTTAAGCACTAAAAGAGAAAACCTTGTCAAGTCAGAATTCTATACTCATGGAAAATTTCCTTCAAAAATAAAGGCAAAATACTTTTTAAAAATGTACACACACACACACACACACACACACACACATATATATTTAGAGTGGCTCTAGAGTCATAGCTGAATTGAACAAAACATACCCAATATAAAATTTTTTTTTAATATTTGAGACAGACAAAGGCTGTAGGAAGCTGTAACTTGCCAACCTATCCTCCAAGGAATCCAAAAGTGTGGAATCTGAAGCTGCAGTGGTCTCTTGATGCAGGGCATGAGTTCTGCTGTCTGCTGCAGCCACTGCCCACCTGGCTGGATTTATTCAGCTATGGCAGCTGTTGGTCTCTGTCAGCATTTGTGTTTGCAGCCCAGTCTAGTCTCCTGATATCTCCCTTGGTAGGTACAACTGTCTACTAACTAATGGCTCAGCCAGAGCTTTGTCCCCACGCAGACGTAAGTCTGCTGCTTTGATCAGCTTTATAAAGTGACAGTCTGTATATGTCACTCCTCGGCCACCCCCTCACACCTCCCAGCCTGAAGGGTATAGCCCAAGCAAGAGTTTCCTGAACATGAAAAGCAGGACCCTTTATGAACTGGACCCCACATACACCCCACCCTCTTCTCTTGTCAGGTCTCCTTCCTATGTAAGTATCTAGCCCTCCTGGTACAGCCTGACCTCTGACCCTTTGCCTGCATGTCACTGTCTCTCTGCAAAACTCTTCCTCTTCTCTTTGCCTTCCGAACTCCTGTCCATCCTTCAGCTCTAGCCTCAGGAGCCACTCCACCCAGGAAGGCCTCCTTCTCCTGAGGGAAGGCAAGTGCCCTTCACCCCTCCCCAAGCTCACTAGATTCACCACACAGTCACATCCTCATTTTAAGAGGAGTTTTACTTTTCTGGCTCCTTTATTCATGGTACTGAAGGTAATAGCTAAACCGGCAGGTTAATTTTGTGCCAGGTGATATTCTGACGATTTCACATGCTACATCTCATTTAATTCTTACAACAATACAAAGGAAGAGTTAAAAAGATCAGCCCCATTTTATAGTCTATATGGAAAATTAGTTTTCCCAAACACACAGAAAGTGTGGGATGACATACAGAACTGGACCTATGCCTCTTTCATCTTGAAACCCCAGAACCTAACCCAGCATCGGCACAAACTAGACCTACTTAGTGAGGGTAACGCACCCGGGAGGTGAGGAGCAGGAATCCACCAGCTAATATCATGGATCACCCAAATTTCCTCCTGAAATTCTTAAAATAAAACTTAGACCTGGGTATATGCAAATAAGTAAGGCAAGCCTCTTCTCCTCTCTGGACTAGTTTTCTCATCTGTGAAACAAGAGCTGGAATGAGGGTATATTAAATGATCTCCAGTGTCTCATATGCCTGGTAAACCCTCACTAGGATGCTGACTAAGATAGCATCTCACTTTTACACTGTCATTGGGAGAAAAAGAAAAATTTTATTACCAACATTTGCATGTTCAGTGTTTCTAAGGCAGTTTCTCTCCCCACCATTCCAATTTTCTGGAGTTTGGCTCTGCTGATCAATAGAGTGGGTAAGTCACAGACACTGCCAAAGCCCAAGACTTAATTTATTTACTTAAAACAAAGTGGCTAAAGTTGTGATGAGAAAGAAATAGATAAACCAACTATTGAGTATTTGGTACTGAGTTTGGGAGAGAGTGAAATTAGAGACTTTGATGAATTATATTTGGGAGTATAATTGGATGGACATAAACCTTAGCATTTTTCAATATATTGTACAATGGAATTCCTCCTCCTACTACTTTGAAGGACTTTAGCCAAGATTTACATTATTTCAAAATGTCTTTTTGGTATCCCTTTTGTATCTGAGTGGGAACTTGGTAGTATTAAAACTTAAAAATACTTAAATAATTTAGGTTACCACGTTTTAAGGAAAAAAATAATATAGTAGGCGTTGGCAAATGATGACCCATGAGCTCATTGCCTGTGTTTAACTAAACTCTATTAAAACACAGTCATACCCATTCATTCACACATTGTCTGTGGCCACTTTCTAGCTGCAATTGCAGAGTTGATTACCTATGGCAGAGACCGTATGGCCCAAGAACCTAAAATATTTACTCTCTGGTCTTTTAAGAAAAAAAAAGTTTATTCCTGTACTTTATTACAACTCTAGAGATAAATTTTTAAAAGTAAAGAGAAATAATCATATTTTATTTTATAAATGAAATGTTACAGAAATGTGCCTTAGTGTTTTTTTCCCCCTTCTGTTGTGAAAATGGTATGTTCAGTATTCTGGTTGCCAGGAGACAATCCCCTATGAGTCTCTCATGTTTCCACATGTTGTGAATGAGGCACTAACTGTCCCAGTGGTACAGGACCTAAAATTATAATTGAATGTTAAGTGCTGCCCTGACATCTGGTGAAATCGAGAGGCCTCGAGTGGCCTAACCACGAGTTCTCTGCCCTACTTGGCTCCCACAGATAGGGCCCCTTAGCCAAGCAACCTTCTTATCAAGGGGCCGGGCACAGTTCCTGCTTGTCCCCGAGTAGCGGATTTCACTTCCCTGCCAGCCTGCAGACTTACTCAAACAAGCCAATCACATCATCTTGCAGGAATGAGTGGGCACCCCACCCTTTTGATACCACATGGCTCCTCCGGCAGCCTCCGCTGTTCACCCTATTTCTTATGCAATCCCCTCATGGCTCAGCATGGCGGGATGGCCTCCGCTCCTGGGGTGAGCAATATGTGACTGGTAAACTGCTATCATCCCATCTTTCCAGTGTCAGGTGTCATGGGTCTCACCATCCTTGTAGCCTTGGGTGGAAACCACCCCCTTCCCAGTGAGATGAATAGGGGGGTGATCCAAACTGTCCTTTCTTCCAGGCTGGCTTTGCAAGGATGTTGGTGTGGCAACAACCTTGGAACATTTATAAGGTATCTCCCTCTGGAGCAGTGGGCAGGCAACCTTGCGTACATGTGTGCTTACTTGCTCAGTCATGTCCAACTCTGCAGCTCCATGGACTGTAAGTCCGCCAGGCTCCTCTGCCCATGGAATTTTACAGGCAAGAATACTGGAGTGG